GAATTTTTTCAAAGTTTAAATCATAAATATAAAAGGCAGCTGATATTTTCAGACATATAAACGTTCTGGTAAATGACTGGCAAAATTTGACCTTCGAATTTGCAAAATCTGACGATGCCATCGAAAAGAGCTTGCAGAACTGAGTATCAGTCAATGCAACATGAATTTGAGCTGACCTATCAGCAAAAAGTTATGGCTGTTGGAACTTTCGTTTGTCAAACAACGCGCCAAACTTGCTTCAACTCGTCGAGGGAGAGGCAACTGCCCTTAGTTGCTGTTAGAGTTACGCGGAAGATTATTGTAGATATGCGAAAATGATACACAACATATTCAACAATGAAATGAAATCAGCAGTTTGCAGGACAATAATTTACTTCCACTCTTTTCTTTTCAACAAGGTCTCTGATGTAGTGATAGTCAATATGCTTTGTCCAGGAGTGGTTGTCAGGATTCTTTGAAGAGCAATTGCACCCTGATTGTCCTCATTCAGAATATTAGTTTGTTGCTCATATCCCAAATCCTTGAAGAATGATCTCAGCCACATGGGCTCCTGTGCAGCAAAAGAAAGAGCTATGTATTCTGCTTCGGTAGACGATAGTGCAACTATTTCCTGACGTTTACTGCGCCAACTGACTGTACCACCGCAAATTTGAAAAACATATCCTGAGGTAGATTTCCTTTCAACAACATCTCCTGCCCAATCAGCATCCGTAAAACCGAATCATCAACAGATGTCTGACATGACGCGTCAAACTTCAATCCTACGTTTAGAGATCCTTTGATGTACCTCAGTACACGCTTTACAGCTTTCCAATGATTCTGACCCGGTTTTGACATGAATATGCTTAAAATCCCTACTGAAGTAGCTAAATCTGGTCTTGAAATCGTCATGGCATATGTGAGACATCCAATTACTGCTTGATAATCTTGCAAATTAACGGATTGCTCATCATCCTTCAGCTTGATAAGACTTTGATTGGGATCAATGGGTGTTGCTACTGGCTTACAGTCCTGCATGTCAAAACGCTTCAGAACATTTTCTAAGTACATCTTTTGTGAGATGGTCAGTGTACGCTCTTCCTTGTTTCTTGAGATACTCATGCCGAGAATATGATGTGCCTCTCCCTAGTCTTTCATCTCAAACTTTCTTTGTAAGTCTGCCTTCTCAGCTTCCATCATTTGTGCATCATTGCAAGCTAAAATAAGGTCATCCACATGTATAGCAATAATCATGATGTTCTTCTTGTTATTTCTAGTAATGTAATGTGTATGTTTTTCACATACACACATGGATCTGCTTTATTTTGAACATAACCAGAGTCTTTAAAATACTGGTCAATCACACTATTCCAGCATCTTGCAGCCTGCTTTAAACCATACAGACTCTTTTGCAATTTGCAAACATAATCTGGATTCTTTGCATCTACATAACATTTTGGCTGCTTCATGTAGATTTCTTCATCTAGATTGCCATTCAAAAA